TTGACTTGCAAATATTGTTTACTTGCTTAGTATGAGTTTTGCCTTGTTCTTTTCGTTCTATTGCAAACTTTGCCCATTCTGTTTGCTAGGCATCTCGACCAATTACTTTTAACCATTGCCAGTTTTGAACGAACAGTTATCTTATACACCTATCTGCATAAACAGCGCCTCTTACTCTGTAAACCTCTACCTCGAGTGGCTCTTGTACATACTGAAACTCATTGTAAAAAATACTCTACAAGTTTTCTCAAGAAAATTAGAATTCTAAAATCCACTTTTGTAGCTTTATCTAGTATTGATTGTACTTTCCTTCCAATTTATTTTGTTTTGGGCAATGTAGAAAGTTAACTATTTGAATATATAATTATTATTTGAATATATATTACATAATATAACTTAATATATTCATAACTTATATATATATATATATATATATATATATATATATATATATATATATATATATATATATATATATATACAGAATAAACTCGGTTCTCGAACGTCTCACTTGTCGAAAAAATCGGTTTTCGAACAGAAAATTCGAAATGAAAATTCCTCGGTTATCGAACAAAATTTCGGTTTTCAAACAACATTGCCGAACTGAGTTAACCCGAACGGAATAATTTTTGAGTCGACCACCGCGTTGTATAAATTCGTCTGTTGTGCCGTGCTTTTCTTTTCCATTTTCATTGTACTGTGACTTTTTTTCTCTACATTGATTCCTATTGGAAAAATACTTTCGGTTTACGGACATTTCGGGTTACGAACGGCCTTCAGGAACGAATTAAATTCGTGAACCGTGCTTCCAATGTATTATAATATAATATTACAATATAATATATTGTATAATATATATTATATTATAATAATATATAATATATCCATATAATATTATTTGTAATATCATATCTATTAAAAGCATTTGCTATCTTTTTCAAGGAAGATCAAAGAAGCTGATGAACTGTAAATTATCAATTTTTGAACTATAAATTGCCAGAGGAGTCGCAATGTGTATAGACTTAATATGAGAAAAGTTGTAACTGATAAATGGCACACAAGTCGATATCCAATCAGCTTCAACTGAGTCACCGTATCGAGGGGGGAGGGGAATAATGCTGAAAGATTCGAAACTCAGAATGAATTATTCTGAAAAACATCACTGATGATATATGTCAAAGAATGAAACAGGTGTATTTCACGAAACATATGCATATAACTTATTATATAATATAAGCTATTATATTCAAATAATATATATTATATAATATAACTCTTCTAGTTATATAACGTACTCATTTTTTGTCGTTGATGTTGTTGGGAATCTCCAAGTGATGCGTTTTTTTTTTATTTGGTAAAACTGTGCGTTTGTAATTTTGTAGCAACATTCTCTAGGCTATTGATGTCTTCCTTATGATTTACATGCTTAATTCGTTTGAAGCTATTCTTAATTAGTAATCTGAGAAAACAGTTGTAAACAAATTATATTTTAAACACTTCGGAATGAGTAAGAGACCATGTACGGCATCCATATTAAAAATCTCGATTTGACGAGGCTATTTAATAACATGACTCGAGTTTTCGAGTTAATACTTTTTTTAATGTACCTCACGGCAGTAAACAAAAATACCCCTATTATAACCTATCCTGTCTTAAAATTCCTTATCTCTTATACTAGATTTGTTATGATTCATATCCCGAGATATTTAAAGTGTTTAGAATTTATCAATTCAATATTATGACTTTTTGTGATCGATTCGGGGCAGATTCAAGCCGAGCTTCTCGGCTTGACGGTCCAACTTTCTGCCTCTGAGCCGAAGGGCAGAATCTCGTTCGGGGAGAAATGACCAACCCGATCTCGTTTATACGGGTTATACGGGCATTTTTTGGCCGAGCCTACGGGCTCGGGAAACCCACGATAAACTCGGCCTTGTGCCACATGTAACCCTCGTGGGGGGTGGCTAGATACTGATTCGGGGCAGGTCCTATCACTATTTTCATTCTAATCCTACTTCATGTTTTCCATTTTAGAAAGGTTTGTATGTATTCCTGGTAAAACAGGGGAACCCCAGTAAATAGACAGATATTGATGTGTCCGCTGTGAAGCGAAACTGTTTAATGTTCTTTTCACAAGAGTTACGTGAACTACAGGCCATCATTATTTTTAATATTGAGAATGTCCAATGTGTACGCACATAGGCGCACATGCGTGAGGTCGGTTCAGGAAGTATGGAGACGCCTAATATGAAAAAATATATATATACTTCAAAATCCCCATCAAAACAATCCCCTTCAAACCTGACATACTTATCCAAGTATCCCTTGCATCTTTCCAAAACAGTCCGCAAACAGTCCTTCTGGGGATTCACAATTAACTCCTTCGTCACGTTCTCTTTAATTTCATCCGCAGTATTTAGGCGACAATTTGAGCTTTAGGAAAAGCCGATAGCCGCAGAGAGCCAAATGTTGACTGTATAAGTAACAGCCAGAAGGACAGATTTTATTAATAAGTTTTGTTTTGTTTTTGTTTTTTGTCAAAGAATACATACACAAGTCGCCAAGAATATCCACTGCATCATTGTGAATTCTATAGTTATGCAGTACATAAACTCATTTATTAATATCTCAATACCGCCTGAGTAACTCCAAGTGAGAGTGTCTGATCACATTATATGTGCATTCAAGTCTGTTTTTATTGGTTTGAAAATCACGGCAATAAAGTATCGGGTCTGTTGCTATGGTAACGAAACTTAAGTATACATAGTGAGGCCACTTAGCAGACTTTGAACCTTGTCACGCATGCACATGGAGTTTTTGCTCATTTCTTTCTCTTATATAAGTGCTTGGAAGGAAAGTGTGTAGAGTGTGGTCGTTTCATCAAACCACTGAAATTCCATTACTACCATGGCTAACGGAGCAGTTTTTGGTGAAGTGCAACATTCACCAGGTCCGACAATACCCATGTTCGCCAGATTTCGCCTTTTGCGACCTTTTCTTCTTTCCAAAAATCAAATGCCAGTGTAAAAACTTCAAGACATCGAGGAAAACCAAGAGAATATGACGAGGCAGCCGCTCGCTACCCCCAAAAAAGTTGTTCCAGGACTGCTTCCATCAATGGAAACAAGGTCAAAGTATATGGCTTCATAAAGGAACTACTTCGAAGAACATTAAATGCTGAAATAACGTGTTTTGTAGTTTGTTTGTTTTTTTTATAGCACCAGTCCCGATACATTTTGATCAATACTCGCAGTAAAAGGAAAACTTATCTTAGCCGACGTGTTTCGTCCTCTGAGTGACTTTATCAAGACAAATGCAAGGATTTTATTTTGAAACAAGTATTTATATACAAGGGCAGAAATGTTATTGGTTTTTCCAAATTTTTGACTTTAAGAACGCTCATACTTATTCATCAGGTTAGCCGAAAAGACTAGGCATGTTTTGCAAGACCAATAGCATTTTCGTTGTTATATATAAATAATTGTTACAAAATAAAATCCGTGCATTTGCCTTGCAAGTCTCTCACAGGACGAAACGTGCCAGCTAAGACAAGTTTTTTCTTTGTGTCTTTATTCATATCCTCCTTTTTAGACATATTCTATTTTAAATTTTACACACACACACATATATATACAGCCATACATACATACATATATATATATATATATATATATATATATATATATATATATATATATATATATATAATGTGTGTCAGAGAGGGAAATAAGCTCTGGAAAATGTGTGCATCTTCAAGTTGTCTGCTTGTTCTTTGCGTCTCAACTTGTTATCTTCCTTATTTGAACTTTCTACCAATCTTCGTCATGTGAAATTGTTCACGTCGGGATAAGAGATAAAAATAACACCAGAAAAAAATAGACACGCTCCTTATTGCAAGTTCTTGCGTTTTTGTTTCTTTTCTTATTTCACGTCCCAGCGTGATTTTGCGAGAATAGCAGATATCCATCTCCCGTAGATCACTTGTCCGTTTCACTTAAAAGAGAATTTTACGATACATCGTCTAGAGTCTACGACTAATGCTGAGACACATAAAGCATTTGTTGCAAGAAAAATGTCTGCACCTCAAATCTGTATTCGGTAAAAAGTAAATTCCTTCACGATCCTATTTTAAACCATTTCATTACTTTTCCCAAAACTGCAAATAATTTTATCAAATATTTAATGTTGTCTTAGACGGAAGCTAGTTCTTGTCTATCATAGTGGATCTATTGTGTGTATGTTCAAGTTTGGATGAGTTTCACGGGGTAGATATCGCCGCAGAAACAAAGAATTATAAATTTGCAAGCACAATTCAATGGGGTATCATCACATAGCTGTGTAGTTTCTTTCTTTGTTTTTTAAGTAAATATGGCTTTTGCAATCATGTCAGTCTGTTTGTTTCTTCAACACCAGCAAATCAACTGGAGAGTGACTTCCGGCAGTCAGCCATAAACACGAAATCTTCTTGTGAGCTAAGCACATCACACCTTTCTTCCAGTAAAAAAGGGATATTATTATTACTAATAATTATTATTTCAGTATAACTTGATATGGTCAGACTAATTTGACCAAAAAGAGAAAAAAAGAATGTTTTTTAATGAAAAAAAAAACCAGAAAAATCTTTACAAAACAAAGTTGATTTATGACAAAAAAAAATATCACACTAAATTATCTTGAAGGTTTTTGATTGTTAATATTGGTGTTTCCTTTTTTTTTTTCCTCCTTTTTCTCAATTTTTAAGTCTATGTTGTTATTGTTGTTGTTATTTTTACTGGATATAAAGAAAAATGAACAAAAAAAAAAAAATTTGACAAAGTGTTGATTTCCGTCCCAGAGAGATATCTATACGTCTATATTTCTTACCTACAAAAAGAAACTAAACCCAATAATTGTAGATCTTATTGTGTACAAAATATTTGCTGACCACTGAATTAAGGACCTGTGCAATCCACCTTCATTCTACACATGTAAACATTAAAAGCGCATTTTAAGGAGTACGTGACACAAACGAGAGAAAAAAACGTGAAAGAAAGAGAAATGAGTCGTTGTTATTTCTTGTATCGGCGTTAGATTTGGCGCCAAAAAGAATGCTAGACATGGAAAGTGAAAATGATTCCAATAAAGTTAATAAAGGAACAAAGAAGTAAAGCAACCATTTTGTGTATACTATTTTAAATAAATGGAATAAAAAAATATCGAATAAACAAACAACGGTTTATATTTCTGAAAGTAGAATAAAGCTTTTCTGTAATTGCAAATGTTTTTGTCCATTTCCTTTGTAGCGATATGCAAACCTTCTATTTATAACGGGCACTGGTGACCCGTTGCGGATAAAGGAACGAACGAAGTTTAAGTACCGTATATGTCGGCGTACAAAGCGACCTTTTAACTTTGTTGAGGCTGTTATATTGGCTCACAAACAGATACTAAATGACGGAAGAGAGCAGCAAATAAAACGAAGTCTTGAAATGTATTGCCAAGTTTATTTTCGTTAAAGAAAATACATCAACAAAAATGAGTTTCCAGTGCACGAGGCAAAAAATATCACTGCATGTTCATGTAGAAGGTGAGAATAGCGTTGTCCTGAGAAGGACAGTTTTAGTAGTCGCTGAAGAGCGTTGTCCTGAAAATGACAGTTTTGTAATCGCTGAAGAGCGTTGCCCTGAAACGGACAGTTTAGTGTTCGCTGGAGAGCGTTGTCCTGAAAAGGACAGTTTTGGTAGTCGCTGGAAATCGTTGAAAATGACAATTTATTGCGTATCGTTGCTGCTGGTAAGGATAGCTGGAGGTGGGGATGGATGTAACGGAACCGGAGCCTTGAGCCGGCTATCGGCTGCAGGAACAGTTAATATGTTTTGATCCGAGCAATCTGTCTGCGGAATTAGGTATTTACCCAAGTCTTCCCACTGAGGCGGGATGTGATACAAGATCGGCTTTATTTTTTAAAACATATTGTAATAACGACAGGATACGACAATCTTAACACCCCCCCCAAATAAGGGTCCGTCTTATGCTCCAAGTATAAAATTTAAATCTTAAAGTCTGTGTTATGTTAAGTTGTTAGAATGGGAGACTTCTGACGGAAGGCTCACCCCTGCCTTGGAAACTATCGACACACATATTTTCTACTGAGAGAATGTAACTGATATTATTATAATAAAATAATAAAAGTGTAATAAAAGTACCTTATATATGTGGTATGATTGCATGACTACAACAAAACGCATATTACTCAAGCTAGAAATTAGGCACCTCGGCGTGGTGTAATGGTTAGCAAGCTTGTTTTTCTAGATCAGTTACTACTGAAAAGTGAGTTCGATCCTCACTGGATGCCTCATACTTTCGGCCTTGTGCCACATCTAAGCTACGCTTGGAAAATCTTGGGCACCTCGGCGTGGTGTAATGGTTAGCAAGCTTGTCTCGCAAAAACTGCTACGACAGAATAGTGAGTTCGATCCTCATTGGGTGCCCCATAGTTTCGGCCTTTTGCCACATCTAAGCAATGCTTAGAAAATCAATACTCAAGAGAGAAATTTAAAACTATCGTCTAACAAGATCGCATTCGAAAACAGTGGAAGTAGTGTATGGTTAGCGAGCAAATGTCATTCACCCTTCCCAAAAGACAGCACTCGCTCTTGTGATATTGTGTAGATTGTGACAGTTAATTGACGATACCTTCCCGCCGTTTTTCATTAGAATTTGAGTGAAAGGAAAGTATATGGTTACTGAATTTATTTAACAAATGCATTTTAAAATACGATTCTGGGGGATCGACTTGAACGGCGAATATAGCCTAAAACTTACATTTGAACTTGAAAATTTGGGTGTCGTCTTATACGTCCAGTTGCTTTGTACGCCAGCATATGCGATAGACAAAGTGGGTAAGGATAGATAAATCATGTCACGGGTATAGGAATTCGGAGAAGCAGATTCAAAATGAAACACTTCTAGTTTTGTGTAACTAATAACAACAAATGTATACAGGAATAGTAATCAAACTTACAGAAAAAAATACTTTGTAGTATCAGAAGCTTGTAAAACGTTTGTAGAAAGAATGAGTGTAACTGAGAGTCCCTTATGTAGACGATGTATTATAGAAGAAAAGTTCAAAATTCTGTGGATCAAACCTAGTGTAAATATATATATCACTTGTAACGCATTTAGTTGTCTTGTAGTAAATGGTTATTAATTAAGATACTTAGTCTCGAAGAAGGAATTTTACAACGTGTTGAAGTAAAGAATCTTATCTATAGAACGATATACAGTCCCCTCCAAAAGTATTGGAAAGGCATATTCCTTTGTTTTTTTTATTGTTCGCCGGAGTGGGTTTAGGATCAAAAGATGATTAGGAGACAAGAATTTCAATTTTTTTTTTCAGTTTTTCATATTTACACTTTGATGTGTTAAAGAGCTTAGTAAATACTACTTTTTGTATCAAATAGCCCTATTTTAGGTGCACAAAAGTAAAGGAACAGATAGTCCTAAAATAAATAACATTTAATATTTGGTTGCATAACACTTGCTTGCAATAACTGCATCAAGTCTGCGACATCACTGAATTGTTGCATTCTTCATTTTTGATGCTTTTCCAGACTTTTAATGCAGCCTCTTTCAGTTCCTTGCTTGCTTCGAATGGTTTCTTTCTTCAGTCTCATCTTCAGAAGATGAAATGCATGCTCTGTTGAGTTAAGATCCGGTGTTTGTATTGGCCAGTTTAAAATTGTTCACTTTTCCCTCTTATGAAGTCCTTTATTGTGTTATGTTTCGAATCATTGTCCTGCTACATGATAAACTTCCTCCTGATAGGTTTGGATGCATGTATCTGTAAATTGGCAGACAAAATATTTCTGTACACTTCTGAATGTATTCTGCTGCTTCCATCATCAATAAATAGAAATAAACTTGTTCCAGAAGCCTCCACACGAGCCCAAACCAAGACACTGCTTCCACAATGCTTCACAGATGAGTTTGTATGCTTTGAATCATAGGAAGATCCTTTTCTTCTCCACACTTTGGTCTTTCTACCACTTTGGTAGAGATTAATCCTGGTCTCATCAGTCCATAAAACTTTCTTCCAGAACCTTTGTCGCTTATCTCTGTACTTTCTTGTTAATTCCAATCTGCCCTCCCGATCCTTACTAATGATAAGTGGTTTATTTCTTGTGTTATGGCCTCTACAATTTTGCGCTGTGGAGGTGATGTCACCGACTCTTATTTTGATATTATTCCTTACAGCTCTTACAATGTTTGTCATCAACTGGTGTTGTTTTCCTTGGACAACATGTTCTATGTCTTTTTCTCAGTATACCAATAGTTTCTTTCTTTTTCAGAACATTCCAAATTATTATGTTGGCTATGCCCAATGTCTGTCTAATGGCTCTGATCGATTTTCCTTCTTTTCTCAGCGTCAAAATGGTTAGTTTTTCTCCCATAGGCAGATCTCTCGTCTTTATGTTGGTTTATCAAGAAATGATGTCTTTACAAGTAAAACCCAAAAGTGGTCATTTAGAGCTATTTAATGCTTAAACAGTCAATATAAAAGGCAACACCTGGGCAACAAGAAACACGTATTCCAATGGTTTTCCTCGCTTGAAAAATTGGTGGGATCAAACAAAAGGTGATATGTCCTAAGTTGTTTAGCACAGTTGGCCTTGCCGTTCCAATACTTTTGTGAAGGGACTGTAGTCGTTTCATGTTTTATAGAGCTACTAAAGAAAATTATTTTGTTGTTTATTTGTTGTCTCAAATAGGCTCTCAAAGTCATTTTTCCTTGATAAAAACTATTGTTTTTGATTGGTTCTAAATTCCTAAATTACATTTTAATTTCTAATTTCTGTTTAGGGTGAGAATCTTCTAGGCGACTTGAGCAAACCTATTGAAGTACTTATAAAACAAGGATGAAAGTGCTTGGTTAAAATATTACAGATGCACAGTATTTATACTTCTGCTACTAGAACTACTACTACTACTACTACAAATTAGTTATAATAATAATAGTTATTTGTCCGTATTTTACGAGCGTTTATAGTGTGGACATCGTGGTTGGCTGGGTGTCAAGAGGGTTGTTTAAATCTAAGATTATTTTTTTGTAATTTTTTTTATGTTGCCAGTGTGACGAAAGTGAATGAGATTCCGATGGCATATTAAGTCCATAAGATAATTTCTTAAAAGATTTTTGGCATGTTTCACCAGCGTCAACAGAAAAAAAAAGGCTATTTCACAATGAAATAAGTAAAATTGACTCGAAATTAGTTGAAATCTAATTTTCTATAACGTTAAAATTAAATTTAAAATCAAGTATTCGGCCACTTAACGAGAATCAAGTTGCCATTGGCTAATGGAGATTTTGCTCTCGGCAAATGAAATCCTTTTCTGATCACCAGAAGAAAATTAAGGTAAAAAATTGCCTTACATATTTACCATTCCATCAGATTCTTAGCCAGTTTTACTGACACTATTCATGGAAAGCACAAATCTAAACATACATTTAAACCTTAAAAAATAAAAAAATAAATAAAAAACTAAGTAGACATTAGTTAAAATATTATTATTATTATTATTATCATTATTATTATTATTATCCTTTCATTTCTGGTGTATATCCATTTCCATCCGGGTCCTAACCAACCAGAGACTTAAGGTCAGAAATGACATCATGACATTTTCACTGAACATTTTTTGACTTAAGGGCACACATATTTTATAGTGATAAGGCTCTTCGCAAAGAGTGAATTGTACTTGTGAAAACAACTTTTGTATTTTTTAAGGCATGTGCCACCATGGAAGCTTCAATGAATTTATCAGAATGTTTACTAATCAAACTGAGGGCTTCAACCACAATCGGAATTATTGATGTCTTCATTTGCCACATTTTTGATTTCTACTTCCAGACCGTTATATTTTGGTAGTTTGTCGAAGATAGGAACTGCCATGTCAATAAGAAAGCACATTCTGTTCTTGTGGTCTTTGATCACAAGATGTCTGGGCAATTAGCTTTGATTGTTCTGTCTCTGTGTATTGTAAAGTCCCCTAAAATTGTTACGGGTTCAATCTCTGTAACCGACTCTTAGTGGTGTTCGTAACAATTTCTTGCAGTTT